TACGGGCATGTATGTATCTATCTATATAAGTCTCTCTCTCTCTCTCTCTCTTTCTCTCTCTTCTTGCATGAGGGTGCAATTTGGACCTGACCACCCAGCCCTGGGATTTAGCACAGCAGCCCCACCAAAACCCACAGCAACCGCAATCTTCGCGAGGTCAAAAGGACCTCTTCAAGGACTAGTAAACGCAAGTGGTGAAAGCGCTCAACGGGTCCTCTTCACTTCGGGATTGAATCCAGTAAGGTCCAGCTGTTCATAGCCCTCCTTCATCTTGCCGGGCGCATCGCCCTGCTCCTGCCGGTCTCGAACTGCTGACTGGGGTGACGGTGAAACACAAGGGATAAATATGGAGACCTAGAGGCTCTAGAGGTAAAGTATGTCAAGACAAGCGAAAAAACAAGGCGACCCTTGTGTGGATTCCAACTCACAAGCCGAAGAGAAGACCATGGTTTGGTACAGTACCCTTCCCAAGCTCCAGAAGGGATGTGATAAATCACTCAAAACTCAAAACCATCTATGAAATCCGTCATTGGATGCTCCGACCTGTGCCTAAGCTGGGACCTTGCTGCATCATTGCTCTCGGCCATCCCTGAAGTTCAGCAGAATCGCAGACTCTTTGAGTGCCTGCTTCATCTTGTCCCAGGCTCTCAGCAGGGCTCCGTCAATGGCATCGTCCTCTCTCGAGGCGCCACGGCGCCACGGTGGAAGCCAAGAAGTGCCGCAAGCACAGGCAAAAGGTTTAAGTTGTGGTGATAGTACTTCGTGACCAAAATACAGTGGATCAAAGGCGCGCTGATCCATCCAAACCACCCCTTGCACGCTCGCCCACTTGCATCAACCTGTCTGCTCTTCACAGCGCCCAAGAACCGCACCCAAGTCTTGGAAAGGAAGAAGTGTTGAACATACTTGTAGAGGTTCTTGACCTACAAACATGGCCACCACAGCCTCCCTTCCCAGTCCTTCTTGTCAGGGTTCGAGGCCAGAATCCCCATCACCAGCAACATCTGCTGCTGAGCCAACTCCTGGTTCGGCGCCCGGTAGAGGTAGGGGTCCACCGCATTGAAGCCCTCCTCGCGGGCCGAAAGGCGGCACATTCCGGCCGGTGGGGAAGCTGTAACCATCCATGACTCGGGCATAGCGGCATAGCTGGTGGATCAGGTGGATGTCAAGTCCGATTTTGCATTGGTTATTCCAGGACGCAATCGAAAAAGCAGGGGGCCGGGGGGTGACAAGCCTCTCAAACCCGTTCATATTGGTGGTTGGGAGCGTTTCCCGGTTTCGGGCCTTCTTGGCAGTCCAGATCTTCTCCAAGTTGATGCTCATCTTTGCAGTTGTCCTTGGCTGAGCTTGGGGCAGTGCTCTTTCCATTCCAACCAAGCCGATCAGCATGAAGGAGATGATCGCAGGAAACAAGAATGATGAAGGAGAGAAAGAGATAGTCCATTTCACAACGGAGTCTTGAAAAGTCTATTATAAAGTTCAGTCATTCAGATTCATTAAGTAATGAATCACGGTCGATTAGTTTTGATAGCTGATGGTTTCCTCACACTTGCATACGCTTGCCAGTTTTTTGAAGGCGATGAATTGTTTCATTCTTGTGTTCGAATCCCAACATGCGGGACATAAAGGAATCAAAAAGGTTGCTGTTCACCAACTCCTGAACTACAATCACCTCCTATATAACCATCAACATCTCCAAAATCCACCCCATTCTCGGCCAAATCCAAACAGGAAAATCCACCCCTGGATCCAGCATGATCCAACATGATCCAACCATCCCAGGCTCAAAGTGCCCGTCTTGTCCGAGCACAAGACGTCCATGGACGCGATATCCTGCAACGCGGACATCCGCGTGACGATAGCGTGGTGGTCCTCAGTGGCGCTCCACCCCTCCAACACCTAGCCATCAGGTCACATCGATTCACATCGCCAGGGAGTAGAGACAAGAATGACTGGAGTCCTCAAGAGGGATGACGGAAGGGCCCGTCACGGCTTCTCGGTGCCCGTCACGACACCCACTGGTCTATGCCAGGTGGCCGTGGCCATGCGGTAAGCACCAATGGCCATGGTCACTTGCAGCACCAGTGGCAGCGCGATGGGCACGGCAGCGATGAGGATGGACAGGGCCGTTAGCAGGGTGCCCTTGAAGTCCTCGAAGCAAACAAGCTCGAGAGCGGTCGAGCGGCTTTTCGCGCGAGAGAATGCCGAGCAGCGCTTGAGCTGTGAAGAGTCAAAGAAATTGAGATTGGTAGTGGAACGGAGGCGATGCCAGGAGCCCCTAGTAGCGTCCTTGCTCCTAGTAGCGATGCCAGGAGCCACTAATAGCGTTGTGTGTGTGTGCACTTGATTTCACCTTGTTCCCCAAACGATGTTGAACGCGAACCCCTGATCCGCCAGGTTTACTTCTCGCACACTGGTTAGACTTGCAATCAGATGTGCGTAGACTTGCGCCCCCTGCAAGTGATATGGGGGAGCGTTCATTCTCAAACCTTACCAACCCCTCCCACTGGGGCGCCTCATCGAAGCCATTTCGCACCAAACCTTGCACCAGCACGATGCAAATCGCATCCAAGACTGCGAGCGAGATGATGATGTTCACCTCAAATCACATGAATGTCCAGCGACTGCTAGCCCCAAAGGGTGCAAGACTTGGCGCATGCCGGCCCTGCACTAGGAGGCTTAAAAAACGCATGTTCTATATATTTGGGTGGTTTCTGCAAAATCTGCCGCTACGAAACTATTGTCTCTGGTCCTCCTCCTCCTCCCCCTCCTCACGCTGCTACTGGCATTTCTAGAAGCAGATTTCCCATTGAGGGGAACGCTCTTTGTACCAAGCAAGTCACCACACCGCTCCAACAAGCATGGAACATCAACACCCCCACCTACAGCAAACGAATATTCACAGCAGCTGTTGCTCGAGGCCTTTTCGGTGGCATGGAAATGTGCCTCTTTTTTCAGCTGCTTTTGGATAGGCACGGACGATCAGAGGCACCAAGCAGTATTCAAGACCATGGGACGGTCGAGGTGCTGAGCAAGATACACAACATCCCGGTGCTGTTCATCGGTCCGTTCGCCACCGCCCCTCATACCCATTGGCCAGTCTCCCCACCAAGCAACCACCACCATGACCCGCTGCTCGAAAACACTCACGGCGGCCGTCTGCCGGTCAGCCATGATGTCGGCCTGGCCCTGTCCGATCTCCGTGTTCGTGCCCGTGAGCCGCACCACGCAGTAGGCCTTGAGAACGAGGCAGCAGTGAGATGAATGAAAGAGACTGGCGTTCCGCGCTGGGGTGGACAAGCATGGGAAAATCATATGAAGTGTGCTGATGGTTCTTGCCCCCTCTTGAGTCTGCGAACGCATGGACAAAGCAAAGTGTGGCAGCTGCAAAAGCGCGAGCACCTGCCTCTCCAGATTTGACTGTAGTCCCGGAGAGGATGAGCTTTCCATACTCCTGGAGCCCAGCTCTGGATACCTCAAGCTGGGAGGAGGGGCTAATTATATACAGCTGGCCCCAACCACCTCATGCTCCAATCATAGCACGGAGCCCCCTTTGTCTGTCCTCGCTGGGGTACTTCCGCGGGAGCGGCTCGCCGGTCAGCGCCGCGGTGTCAATCGTCAGGACGTCGCCCTCGAGCCACTCCACGTCCGCGGGCGTCAGCGCGCCGCCGCGCAGGTGGGTCACATCGCCTGGCCGAAGCCAACGGGTGAGGTTCATGTGTGAGCGGATCAAAAAGGGCCTATAAGGCCTCAGCATTCCTAACTCCTAACAGCAACTTTTTGAAAGCCCAATCCCCTCCCTCAGAACCCACCAAAAAAGCAAACACCCAAAACATCCAGCTTCGCAAAGTCACCGACTTGCTAGAGAACAGGTTAGCACGAAGCACAAGTTGTTCCTGTAGAAGGCTCCCTCCCCCCCAAAAAAAAGAAACAAGAAGCCCAGGCACCGGGAACCAACTTTGAGACAGGTAAGGACTGCGTCTGCCCATCCCGTAAGCAAGGGATGCTGGACTCCATCTGATTCGTCAACTCTGCCAACGCATTCTTGGCTTTCATCTCTTCCCGGAAGCCCAGTGCAGCATTCACCTTGACATCCGGCTATTGAGCAGGTGGATGGGTGTGGGAGCAGGAGCAGGTCAGTTGCGGGCAGTTCTTCACAGCTGCCCGGAGTTCATCACAGTTGACTCCCCAAAAAGGGTGAAACGAACAGAACAGTACAGAAAGGCCACGTGTTCAAAGGAGCCATTGGACCATTTTGGCTTGACCAGTAGGATAGGAACAAGATGTCTTCCTCCTCACTTTGTGCATTTCACTGTGGCGTCAATGCCTGCCCTCCATTCTTGAAGGATCTCTAAAGTTTTGCTCTCATGACATGCGTCAGACAACAAACGCCCACACAGTGCGTCAAGACTTGCAGCCACGACATCACCCCCTGCTCGCTGCAAACTCCCTGTACAGAGATCACTCTTGTGTAACTACTACTTGTGTTTTGGCTCCTTGGGATCCAGTTCCACGGGTGAACATGTTCATCTCTTCCATTTGTGTGTCGCGGACAGATCTCCCGAGTGGCCAGGACCATGGCTAAGATCACAAAGAAGTCGGGCCAGTCGCCCGCGGCAGCGGAGATGACACAACTCACCTGGGAAGGAGAGCGTCTCCTCCCAGTCTGCAGTCCACATCTGTCCTCCTCACAAAAATTCTGAACGCGGACCCACCGCTGATAGCGGTGGAACTGGATAGATATTGAAGGCGATACGCGGCGATACTGCCCCGGCGGACCCGCCTCCAGCATCACGGGCATGGTACCTGCAAAGCAGCTCAGGTGACCAAGCTCTACAGCAGTGAAGCCGCCGTTGGATCAAGCACCCTAAGCACCCTCCTCTTCTGAAGCGAGTAAGCTTGCTAAAGCTGACTTGCTTGTCCATGTCCTAGCTCGGCCCCAGGCCCAAAACCCTGACTTCAAGATACTTCAAGCCTTGCATAGACCCTCCCTGGTGGGATGGAGTTCTTCCCCAGAACCTGCCCCTGCCGATCAAAGATCCCCCTCTGCCAGCCAAGAGGCCCACGAACTGTGACAGGATCATCTTCCAGATGGGTGTCTCAATCACTGGGATTTCGTTGGGGCCATACTCCTGCAAGGGCCCCCAGGCGCGCAGCAGGACTCGGCGTCGGGCCGATGGCCGATGGACGAACTACTGCCACATCGCAGCGTGGCATGGGGCGATGCGGCCATGGCGTTCAGGGACGGGGCCGTTCATCGGCCCCAGGACCTCAACCAGAAACGCCAAGTTACATAAATAGACTTAAATAGACCGTAATAGACCGATCTCACTCGGGAATAGACCGATCTCGCTCGGGATCCTGATATAGATTCATCAAGATCTCAGCAATTGTTGCAAAGCTCCAAGCTTTACTGGACGTGCTCCACGTTGCAACGTCCCCTTGACCTCCGGACCCCACAAGAACGGGTTCAGACCTTCACCACCCTCCTCTTTCCTCTCTTTCTGCAGATGTCTCCTGTTCCTCACAGCTCCTGCCAGTCTCCCTCCTCCCGTTCCCCGCCGTCCTCGATGCGCTTCGCCGCCTCGGCGGACGTGAGACCATCGCGCTCCGCGCCCAGGGCGCCCAGGGCGTCGTTCGGCACCAGCTTGGCCGAGAGAGCCATGGTGGGACACCGCCCTGGACCGGCTGCGATGGGAGTGGCCAGGCGAAGGGGGAAAGGGGAAAAACGAAAGAAGACGAAAAGCCCCGAGAAGCGCCCTGCAAACATTGCCCTTCAAAAGAAAGAAAGAAGGGAAGGGAAGGGAAGGGAAGGGAAGGAAAGGAATGGAAAGAAATCCCGAACACCATCTGCAAGGAATCCACACCGTTGGGTCCATCGTCAACAGGTCATCGGTCATCAGGGCTGTCGACACGGACATGCGATTCAATCTGCCTTTTCATCTTCCCATAAGGTCCACCTCATGGAGATGGCTTCTCTTTGTTCAATCCAGAAGAACGAGAGGGGTGCCATCGTCGATTTGGTACCTGACTTTTTCAAATACTCATGGTTTTTTCTTGACAGAAATGTCTTGAGCGAAAAAGCATGAAAAATAAGATACTATAAATATAGTAATTGGGCTGTGGAGGGAACACAGAAAGGGCAATGAAGGCCTGCTTCGGCCCTCCACCAAGCCGGGAACAAAATGAGGCTCGCTCGCTGCTGGGTCACCGGGGCCGAACAAACCCCGTCCTTCGAGTAGGAGACTGTTTGGCCCAAAGATATCTTTTTAGGACCATACACCTACTGTAGTGGCTAGTACACTTGGCGGTCTCCCCCTCTTGATTCATCACACCAAGAGAGAGTGCCGCGCACCTTGCTGGACTCAATCCTCGTCTGATCTTGGCCTACACCTCCTTGAGCCCAGCAGCGACAGTGGCAAAGGTCCCATGGCCTATGATCATGCCTTTTGTCGTGGTTGGTTGATGAGTCTAGGATCCATTGGGGGATGGCTGCACTGGCTAGTTATGAGCTGTGTCTGTGCTTCTACGTCTTTCAAGCGCTTCTCTCGCCATAAAAAAGCACCTCTCCCTCCACCTGTCCGCCCCGATGTATGTGCCCCATGTCTCGGCGCCCCGGGCCCAGTGGAGGAATGGGCTCCCGCGAGAGCTGCCGCTCCTTGATGGACGCGATGTAGTCTGCGGAACGTCCACGGCCGGCGGACGCTGACGCTGGGGAGCAGGACTGGAGACCTGGAGCGGGTGGTCAGCGGATCGCAGGTCAGAACAGCCACCTCGCAGGAAGCGATGGTGTTACCTCAGAAGATCAGAATCCTTCTCCAGATGTGGGGCGCCTCTTTCTTGTGTCATGGCCTCCACCGAACGGGCTGTCGCAACCTCAACACCCAGGAGGAGGAAAATCCCACACCTTAGGAACACCTCCAGAACACCGCCCAACCGCACCGGTGTACCGCCCTGGTCGTCGCCGGTCGTTCGCCCGGACCGCCGTCTCCCGTATCGCGCCATCTTCATCTCGGCGCTCGTGTGGGACACCCGCCTGCTCCAGCGACCGGGAGGTGAGAGCAGAAGAAGGAGCTGGTTGAGACTTCGTCTCGTGTGGGGCGTCTTTCGTCCAAAGATTCCCCCAACCCTGCTTGAACCTGAGCATGTGGTCCGTCTGGTCCGTGCCTCGAAAGTCAACTTGAACACTTACTACCCATGGGTTGGCATCCTCCTCCAGTCCTTTTCGGCTGGGAGCACGTGCTTGGGGATTCTACTTTAATTATATACCTTAGCATTCAGGCGTACGGTAAAATTCTGACTTGTGGCCAATGTCTTTGCCAGAAGTGAATAAAGTACACAATGATGAAGCTTTACAGGCTGATATATGATATATATATATATATAATATATACTGTATATATATGTGGTAGGTCTCATCCAGACCATATTTCTGCATGTCAGCATCCTCGGGGCAGGAATGCCACGCAGGATGCGAATCCTCTTGCCACTCAACGGTGTGACCGTCACGGCACACGAATGCCCCAGCACGGAACATGTCGCGAATAGGAAAACCAAGCAAGACCCTAGGCCCTAGAACAGAACAAGACACAAAATAACCAATGCAAATTTGGGGGATCCCTGCTAAAGTATCTATAGTGTAGTCCACGTGAAAATCCACCGAAGAACGCCTGGTCAAAGCCCAAGTCGTCATGCAGACTCTGGCCTCCAATTGCTCTTGTTCGTGCTTCGAGGCAGCCAAGTCCACAAGCCTTGTGCCACTTGGACCAGGCTCTCCGAACGTCGAAAAGACCCTCACAGCCATAGCATCCAACACTCCCCCTTGCAGACGGGTTCTTGGAACCGCTGGGCACCTGCACCCGTGCTCCTCCCAACCGACCTCGCGTCACGTCCTCCGCGCCATCTTCTGCGCGGCACTACCGCCGGAACCGAGCAGCTCGCGGCTCTCATCCTCCAACTCGCGACATCGGGTTTGCAGCCTAAGCGCTACGCCCCAGCCATCCATCCCCAGCCGGCCCGGTCCAGCTTGGAAGAGCTTTTTTGATCTTTTTCGTTCTTCCTGGGAAGTGCTTTTTCCTCCAAACGCAGGTCTTGTGTTGGCCGGTTCGGGAGAGCAAAAATGGACGACGACGACGACGACAACAACAACAACAAAATTACTTTGAGAGGTTCTCATTCTGCTTGCCTCAGGATGCTTCACCTCAACCATGGTGCCTTATAAACATGCAAACATGCAGACAGCACAGAACACCTAATCTAGCGACCTTGCTCCCAAACAACACAGCACCCGCTGCAAAGGGTCCTCCACACGACCAGTCAGCGCCTCAATGACCTCAATGACCTCTGACAAAATCCAGGCCCCAATGACAATCTCTTAAAGCCCCCGGACAGGTCAACTAGCTCCTCCAGCTGCGTCACCGTCCTGGAAAAAAGAAAGACCCGCCCGCTCGCAGTGTGTGTGTCCCACCCATGATTCTCAAGTCATATCCGTTCCAGCTCATAGCTACCACGCGGAGCATTGTAAAGCTACAGCTCATATCAGCTCATGAGAATGCTTTTGGGCAGCCGCCGGCGCCACGAAAACCGCGGAGGCCCTGCCCCTCCTCTGTCGGTCTTGAAGCTCCCAGCGCAGGCTCGCCAGCTCCTCGAACGTCGCCGTGCCGATGCGGCCAAACGAGGCGGTGCCATCCAAAGGACACCAACAGGCGAAATGCTTCGAAGACCGAGCTCAAATGCTGGGAACATGATGAACAAAACGCGGACGCACGGAGCTGTTTCTTTGTTCTGCTTGAAAATTCCGCAGTGGCGGCGTGATGGGGACCATGACCATGCTGACCCCACCCCCATCAGAATCAGTCAACAAAGCCAGGCCGAAGCACTAAAGGAACCTCCCAAACCGCCAAAAAGAAAACCTCTGACTCTTGATGTTGACTTTTCCTTCTGGAACCTACATCCTCAAAAAAGCCTTTCCCAATCCTCAACCACCTTCGGGCTGGTGGGCGAGATCGGCTCCCTCTGCTCCCGGCGCACCGAGCCCCTGCCATCCGTTCGGTGCAGGATGGAGGAGATAAATCCAGAGACTGCGATATGTGATGTAACTATCTATCTGTCTATCTATCTATCTTTCTATCCTTCGTTCTTTCTTCATCTTATATTTTATCTCTATCTGTGCATGCCAACAGTAGTGATTTTGCCTGCGACACGGTGTGCCTCGCGACCCAAGTGCTCTTTCCAACATATTACAATATATACGCACGTTTCTTCTTGTTTCTTCCCTCTTTCGACTCTACCGGCCCAGCTGAGCCCGCTTCCCTTCGCTCGGCTCGGAGGTCTTTCGATCCGTCACGTCGTCGTCGCTTCCGTCCTGGGAACGGACGAAGGTCCGCGGCACGGACGAAGGCGTCGAAAGACGCCATCCACACGTGGATGGACGAGATCAAATAAGCATTCCAGAAGAGGATGAAGGGACAAGGATAGATAGGTATATAAAAATATATATGATTTATATTCATACCTTTAAAACTCAACATAAAGCGACTCTGTCGCCCTCCATCTCTTCACATCCGCGCCTCCTCTGGAGGCGCCAGCGACCTCAACACCTCTGGAGGCGGTGGACCAGTCAGGTGCACAGCCTCGCGGTCCCACATGTGGCAAAAGGCGGGAAGGACGGACGCCGGCGGAAGGGGCGGAAGAACGGTCGACAGGGTGGATTGGCACAGGGTGTGAGGGTTAGGTGACTTGGTGCAGGGCTGTGGTCGGAAGGTCCTTCAAAGGCCAAACCTGGAGGGCTCCGAAATCGCCTCATCTTGGCAAAAAGAACTTGCACCGACACCAGGCCGTGTGTCTTTTGATATGTTGGGTCGACGCCGCTTGGAGCGTCACACGGCCGGCACACCCATCGTTGGCAAAGCTGAAATCAGGGCCGCTTCAGGTAAACGGCCAGTTGACTCGTCATGGCTAGCAAGGAAGGTGCAAGGATGCTTGGATGTCACCAACTCACACATTCTAACCGATGAACTGACACCTGGAGCACCTGACGTTTTTCGCAGGGCGAAGCTGGGATGCTGCGATGCTGGTCAGCCCATGATGCGACCGACGTGGACCCATGACGCGGCAGCCATTAGGCACATGCACTTGCACATCTCTTGGAACGTCGGGCATTTAGGCCACGGCACCACAGCTACACTTGTCGCCCCTTTCGGCCACAAGCCGCTCGCCGAGATCGCCCAGATCGCACCGCCCTTTTTCGGGGCTCAGGCTGTACAAAAAAGAACGCGATCACAAAAGGTCCAAACGCTTCCGGCCTTACTAGGAGCAAGAAGCTACTAGGAGCAAATGGGCTACTACTAAGAGCAGGAAGCTACTACGAGCCCCATCGGCCCAGGGAAGGCCGCTCAGCCACACCCGGCCCCGCCGGGGCTGCAATCTTCAAGGCGTCCAGCGCGCCTCGGTGACGAAGAAGAGCCCCTGCTCGAGCACCTCGGCTCGCAAGCTCGTGTCCAGGATCGCTTCCTGGATGATCTCCTGCCAGCCCAGTGTTAAAGTGCTGCAGAATTACTCGAGATTTCAAGCGGAAGTCAACGAAAATGACTGGACAATACCATGGTTTCGTACCAGAGGCATGTCCTTGGCCTTTGAGAGGAAGCTGGGATGCAGTAGCACAGGGCCCCGTAGTTGCATGAGTTCACGCTTCTGTGGGTGCCCCTCGTTGTGCATGAGAACCGCGCACAGCAAGCCCATCTGAATCATGCCGACATACCTTGGCAACATCACACTTGACCAAGAAGCGAACCCCAAAGCCTACCTTCCGAACAAGACTTAGAACTCTAAAACCTCATAGCCACCCTCATGGAGCCACCTTTGTGCATTTGCATGTCCAAAGTCTGGACTCCAGACCGACACACTCCAAACCGACACACTCAACTGCCCTCAGAATCATTCCACCAGGGTACGCCCAACGGTGCATCTCAAAAAGGAACTCCTCAAGCTGTTCCTCAAGCCGAGGACCCTCATCTAGCTCGCCCAAACCCGTCAAATAGCCGCGAGCGAACTCCTTCTGCGCGTTGAGATCGGCGACCGCGTCACGGCTGAAACCACAGCGAAACCTCGGCGAAAAATTGGGAAGCCCTGAGCAGCTGAACTGAAACGCAGCGAAACGAACACCACGCGGATGCCTGAACCGCATCCGCACCACCTGCCGCAGCGGAAGTTCCATGTTGTTGTGCAGATTCTCCGGATGTTCATCAGTAGTAGGGTGCGATTGAAAATGCATTAAGGGTGCAACGCAATCCTCACAAGCATTACCCTGCCGTCTTGCCTCGAAAGTACAGACCCAAGGACCCGAAGACCAGGACGAAGGACCAAAGAACCAAAAAACTAGAGGACCAAGGGACCAAAGGACCAAGGGACCAGAGGACCAAGGGACCAGGGACCAAGGGACCAGGACAAAGGGACCAAAGGACCAAGCGACCAGGGAACCAGCAGACCAGGACGGATTTTTTTTGATATGAATTAATTGTATAATGTTTTTTAGATAGGAATCAATTTTTTTATTGATACTGTAGGAATCATGTCTTTTTTGATAGGTATCCCCCATTGCTATTGGTGGTACGATGCAAGCACAAAAGGACATGTTTCTCTTCCGAAGCAGGCACGATCCAGGTGGGCCAGTCGCATGGCCTAGCCAAGTCGCAGCATGAGAACCAAATACGCCAAATCAGCTCCAGCGGGACCAGGCGCCGTCATATCGAAGTCAATAAGTCTCAGGCGATCCTCGTGCCACATGATGTTGCCCAGATGCGCATCACCGTGGACACAAGCCTGTGGCAGGGCAGGGCATCGAATCTGACAGCACCATGGTGGCACCAAGGCAGCTGGGTCACTTATGATCACTTATGGGCAGGCATGCTGGTGAGTAGGGTAGGTAGGTACTGCTGTTGACCAGTTGGACTGGCATCTATGCAATGATGCAAGCGCAAGCGCATGCCCTGCGCACACGCCCTACAGCAGGTCATTGGCCCCCAACACCTCACACACACACACACAAATGCATGCTGCATACATAGTTACAGAGATCCTCCGTTTTGGATTTTCCGACCTAGCCGACGAGGATGGAAAAGCGAAACCAAAAACCACAGGCTCGGTTGAATTTGGAGGAATTCCGCTCATGGCATGTATGATGCAGTAGCCCAAAGTGAGTGTAGCCCAAAGTGAGTGGACCCCAAAAAGCACGGCCACTATCACTAGCGCTCCTTGCGGCTCGACACCGCCGTGCCACTGGGCAGCGCCGTGTTCGTCGGGAGCTCTTGGATCTCCCGAGCCAGAAAGGCCCAATCCACGCCTCCCAAGTGGTATAAAGGGGTCACCCGAAAAGACTTCATGTGTGCCCCCGTCGTTCGTCAAATTGTTGCATGTTCTTCTGGCAAAACGAAATCCTACTAGGTCAGATGTTCTGTCAGCTGCTACTCCTCAACTCTGCTTCTCCCTCGCTGGATCGCCTCGGCTGTGCAGTTCCTCGCGATTCGCCTCGGGGACCAAGCCTTAAGTTGGCGCGGCTCAGGCAGATGTGGACTGGGCATGGGTCTTGCATCCTCCGCCTCCTCCTTTCGCCTTTCTACATCTATATCATTCTATATCACTGACAAAGGGCAATCCACCCCCTTTCAACAGGGTCTCATCTCCGCTAGTAACCGCTAGTAAAGGCCCTTATACCGATACGCATGGTTTTACAAACCCCTCTCATGTCCAGTGCGCTCTAGAAAATCTGAGGCATGGGAAATGGCCTTGTCATTAATTATCGAAGCGCCCGTTGTTGCACAGAAAAAACCTCCCAGAACCCTTTCGAACCACCCCCAGCCCCAATGCCAGCAGACATTGCAAGCGAGGAAGCACCCAGAGGCAAAACGTCCAGTCGCACCCCTCGATGTGGAGATCTCCGCTCCGGGCAAGCTCCTGGACACATCATGCACATAGTCTCGGGCACATTTCCCGAACTTCCCACTGCAAAGCCATGATTTCTTCGAGTTCATGCGCCTGTGAAAGTGTGTTTGTCATTAAGCCCTCTCATAGCCCCAAGTCCATCACTTCTGGACAGTGATCCAACACATACAACCTATAATTGGTGCGGGGCAGTTCTCAATGTCTCCAGTTGATGAACACTTAATGACTCTGATTCAAATGGCGACCGTGCCTCGCGCACAGGATCGAACCAGGAGGTGTCTGTGCGATGCAGTTGGGCATATAGTTGGCCTACACCGAGTTTGATTCTTCCACGTCACAAGACTTGCTTTTGGACATGCTTGCAAGAGCCCATGCAAAACATAGCAACAAAAATTTACGCAACAGAGTGCAGCGTCCAACATCGCGAAGCACTTTTGCAGTGAGATCCGGTACATTCAATGTGCCGCCCTCCAGAAACTCGTTCACCAGGAGTCTTCGACCTCCTTCTCCTTCGAGGGTCGCGAGGTGCCGTGGACCCACGGTCTGGCCCAAACACTCAGATGCCAGAATCTTGCTCCGAAGTTCCTTGGGTACGGTTACGAGAAATCACGGCACCAAGCACGGGCACCAAAAAGTTTGGCGTTATTTGTTGATGCGAGGTACCTCGGGGGGGAAATGCCGTACTACACCAACTTCAAGAGTCCAGGCCCGTCCACGATGGAATGCTAACAACCACCTTCATGTGCCCATCGTCCACGACATACATCTGGTGCCATTCGGTGTCAGTACAATTTGTCACACACAGCGCTCCCCCTGATTTCAAGCACGGAAGGCTTAGCAAGGTCTTTTCGACATCTGCAGGTTCCATGGCCCGGGCGATCAACGAGAAAGGGAACAGCCAAACATCTGCAGCCTCGAAGAAGCAGGCTACCGGCAACACTGCACATGCCATTGTCCGACTCACTGCATATTCGCAATTGCACGCACGCCGCACGTCTTTCAGCCTGGCTTTGCACAGACCTCCATGGTGGGTTTTCGTTCGACTTTGCTGGCTATGTTTCTTGTATGTAAAGGCCAAAACATGGCAAAACTGCTGACCACATCCGACCACTGTCTCAATTTGGCCACGCCGAAGAAGGGAAAAACCAATTACTGGCCCTTTCACAAGCCAACACGGGGAAGCCACCATGGTGACATGCGCGGCCGATCGATCACACGGTGCACCTCCCGCACTTTCCGAAGCCACTCCAACCTCAGAAACCACACGTTTTTTTATCTGCATTCATGCTGTGTGGTTGCGGAGGCCATGTTCAATGTGGAACTGGGCGCTAGAATTAGAAATAAGCATCCACTCCCGGACAAGCATGCCAATCACTTGAGGGAAGCACTGTCTGGATGCTACATCGTCGTCCTTGCCATGATCACTTGGTTCCATTTTTGCATTGGCTGTCCGTATTGCAACCATCCGTCCTCTGTAGAAGCCATCGCCGCAAACTCTTTGAAGCATGGCTGCGCCACAATGGAGGTTGCCAGGGCTCAATGATTCACGACAAGAACTGTTCAGCAAATATTTTTGTTTATTGTTGGGCAATGTTGGCACCAATGTGCTGCAGGTAGCACATGCTGATTGCATTCTAGTTGTCTGGTCACCGGTTTTCGCCCATACCCTTCGAAAAGCTATGAGTCAAGAACGGATTGGCAAAATGTCACAAAAAAACGCATCAACGATGCAGCATTCAATTACAGTATGTTTTTTCGCGATGAAACTGTCGTTATTACTTGTGCACTTTGGCCATTCATCGTGGGGACGTTGCCCGCTCCAGCTGTACGAATCTCGGTGATCGCTTTGCAATTCACCAACCAAATACACACACCTTACTGGATTTCAGAACAAGTCCGTTTTCCAAATGCGCAGCGGGTCTTTTCGTGCATGATTTGAATCGTAATTGTCTTTTGTTGTTGAACTTTTGGGGCGATTGTGAAAAAGAGCCGTGAAACCGTTCTGCGAGTTCAAGTGCCAAAATTTGTATATTTGTTTTTTGATTTGGTTGCTTCTCTAAGTGCCCCCACCAAGTTGCCAGTTGGCTTTGAGGAAGCACAGTGGCTGAATTCTCCACGTCATGTGCCACTTTCTGCGAGGTACTCAAAAATGACGACCTCCACCAAATGCCTGCTCCATCAACACCAAAATCAAAACACTCTACTTTCCATTTTCCTTCCATCAATTGCTGTGCTGGGTCTGGCCGACGCCTATCGCTGAACATTGCGGTCACACCACCAAGATTCAAAAGATTCAAAAATATCCAACCACGCTCCGTCAAACCCTGACCTGCAGCATCCAAACCACCTACAGCAAGCAATCTCTGCATGGCCTCAACCTCGAGGAGCAATTGCGTTTGTTCTTTAGAAAGCTCCAACTGGTGGGAACCTCCCTTCGATCAGATCCTGCAGGACTTCCATTTCCCTCACATTTTTTCTGGTTGCCTTTGTGTCATCATCTCCGAGGCCACGAAAAAAATTAAACATTTGTTCCTCAAAAAAAATTTGCGGGGACAGCAGCGTCGTGCGAGAGGTGAGATGGCAGGGCGCGTCTTGCGTAAGGTCCGCGAGGACGGCGGGGGAGGGCGGCGCGCCGCCCCCCCCCCGTTCAGCGACATGCTTTTGAGTACACAGCAGCCGGCCCCGATTCGCACGCGAACAGGCTGAGAAAAAAAACGTTGGCCGAAATGGAACATGGTCCAATTCAGAACGTGCATGCTGCGGCGGGGCATGACCATGTGTTACACATGCCCGCACCTACACATCGGATCCTCAAATTTTCACCCTCATACTCTTGATTGAAAATTACTGTTGCGCCCCGTTGGAAAAACGCTCTCGCCACCAAAAACCAAAAGGTGCAATATATTTCCTTTTTTGGGCTTCGGCATTGCAAACGGCACACTGCGATTTTTGTGGCCGGCAGCGCTGCCAACGTTAAACAGCATGGGTTTGAGCGCGGAAGGCGCCCTATTGTCACCTGCCTGGTTGGCGAGTTTGTCGCGGCCCTGCATCGTAACCATTGGTTCTTGATCCTCATCGGGCCTGGGAACGTGACAGTGTATACTGCGAAGACGTCGCTGGGGAGCGGCTCTTCCCAGTCCAGCTGTTTTGCTGGGAAGCCAGCGGGTGCAGGCAGTCCGCATACGCACGTTGTGCCACAGCACGTGGCAAAATGCAACGGTGCATGTTTCGTGAACATTTTTTGTGTTGTGGCCCCAGCCAAGCTCTAGCTTTGCTTGCGCCCAAAGAAAAACGGCCGACAGAAAATTGCACCAAGCTCACCAGCATAGAACGGGCCAAACCAGTCCTGTTGATTCTTGATCTTCGTTTTTTGTTTGCATTTGTCGCGTCCACCGCCTGCTGCCTAGACCGTCTACAAGAATCACGGCAGGCACAAAGGGCGGCACAGCTGATTGCAAGCAGCAGCATGGGGGCTGCGCGTTCCAGCGGAACCCTCCCTGTCGATGGGCGCATGTTGCACATTGAATTCTCCGGCGCACACTGCGCGGGTCCTGGCGAGCAACTGTTCTTGGACAAGTGGCCTTGACAGGGCAACGCGACAATCACAAAACAACCCGCAGCGTTGACATTCACATCCAACACAACAAGTTGATGAAACAGTGCCGCCAAACAATCAAGAGCATACAAAAAGGCCTGCCTCGATGCTCCAAATGGATGGTTTGGCCATGTCAACCATCGAGGATCATGGCATGAAGTGAACACATGTCAACTGCAATCCTCACGGGTGTTCTGTGTCATGCGTGCTTTCCACAGACTACAAGCACATACTGTAAGTCGTCCCGTCTTGCCAAAATTCGTCTTGGCTACGCCTACCATGAGCAAACAATGTGTTATTTTAACAGTAGTGGTTTCCAATCAAGTGGCGCTGGTAACTTAAGCCTTCTGAGATCCAATTTGTTGTTTCCTTCCTTCAGCCGTCTCCCTTCGGAGCGCCGATCCGAGGACCCCTGGCCACTTGTGAAATCAGCAGGCTAACTACAAGCAAGCCGTCGCCTGTTTTTCCTGCTCACTATGCACGTGCGAAAACGGAAAAAAAAAAACAATCAGTTCGACCATCCAAGACCGATGCCTCAATTTGCCTTGCTTTCCGCGCAAAAAAACCACCGAGTGTCCAACGGCACTGAGGACACTACAAGACCGATGTGTGGAACATGGGAGGGAAACACTGCCGTGTTAGGTTCCGTATCATCCAACCTTACACCGGCCCACAATCCGTCCCAAACACTCGTAAACATTCTTGAGAACAAAGAGGCACGAAAGGTAGAACAGCGGAATAAAACATAAAAAACAGAAGCACGTGATTGGGTGCAAAACGGCGGTGGGCGCACACAAGGGTTGCAAATCCACACGCCGGTGAGGCTTTTTGCGAAGACTCCGGGGTTGAAGCTATCATCCGGGGTGTCGTATGTGGTGCAAAAACAACAGAAGAGTCTTGCACCTTCCTCCGCCTATTAGCTCAACACCGGGCCCGTCAAGCCACACCCCTGCTCCGCCAGCCGTGGCATCAGCCTTGCTCAGTCGCTGGTCAGCTATGCTTTCACATGCGGCTTTCACAGCATATGCAGCATCCCTCCAGGGCTTGGATTTGGCCCCACAAACCAACGTCGAAGGCCAGCACGGCCAACTCCTCGCACAAAACCGCCTCGACGCAACCCCTCCAGCCAGCTGTCTCCCAGCCCCTTGACACACCCCCTGCCACTTCTAGTCGACTGCCTGGATTATCCTTTCTGGACTTTCCTCCTTTGCGGGCTTGGATTTGGGGCACGCTCCGTCTCACCCTGTACATAACCCGCTTTTTCACCTTGTGCCATATTTCCGTCTCGCCCCTGACTTACCATCGCAGGAGGGAAAAAAAACATGAACGCTGAATGCTGCAGAATTTTGTTGGACGGCACCCCCGGCATCGGCGGAGAAACTGACCAGATCCGCCAATCATGTATCAACACTTTCCATGAACACCACCCACGTTACGTCCACCGATTCTTGACCACACCCCGTATTCACTCATCACGAAACCACATGATACCACACACCAAAACCCATCTTACCCCGAACCGTGTCCTTGGCGCTGCCACCTGTTCACAAAAGTAAATGTTCATCAAAACAAATGAACCTAGTGGTGCACGAAACCCACCCATGGACCACAATGGCTCCGTGGTTTCCAAAAGTAGGGCGCTGGCCTTAACATCTGCGGATTTTTGAATCGCAATGCCGCACATTTTCCTACAGTGGTCCCCTTGGGAGCCGCGCGACACTATCAAGGAAAATGCACCCACAAAGTTTCATAGGCTTCGGAGTCGCTGCGGACCTTGAAAACAATATCCCGCGTCGAAATGGCTGGGCACTCTGCCAGATCCAGGTTTCCAGCAACTTGTTTTGCTCAATGTTTGCGTTCATGTTGAGAAGTGAGCAGTTGCGCTACAAAACGAACATCAAGCTGCGAAATCTTTACCATGACGAAAAATTATTGTAACGACCCAGGACTCAGGACACAGAATCGCATTTGTTATTTGCACATTTTGTGTGGTCACCGTGCCAAAATTTTGCCACCCATCTGAATCACAACAAATTGGCCTGCACATGTTGGAGCTGACACTTGGCAATGCAACCACTTCCGCGGAACAAACCAGGTCAACTGCCTTCAGAAAATTTTAAACACGGAGCAGCCATTCAAAAATAGACCACAAATGCAAAAACGTGACGCAAAGTCCATTTCAACACGCAACGGAACCAACGTCGGGCATAGGAACTCACAGTTTCCTCTGGGCCACAGGGTTTCTTGTCAGTAATTCAATAGAACCAACATACACGTGAAACGTTTTTGTTTCCCTAGTACGGGAAGTTCTGACAAAACCCACCCGTCCAACGAATACACTGAAGCATCAACTACGCCAAACAACGCAAACATAGACGCAAACAGCCTTCACCAGCCAAATCGCGCACTGCCACAAACATCTGGCAAGGGCACCCTGCAACGGCCTCAGCGACACCAACATGCAGGCTCTGAAGGGCAAGCTGGACATCCCGGCACTGCATGCACTTAACTTCACAGCGTACAGGGCACAGATCTTGCACCCGGCCAGCACCTTGCAGCGGACCAGCACACAGGTTTCAACGGCGCGCGCCTTTGACATGGCAGCAACACCCAAAGGCTCCAAAGTGCACGGCGCATCTGGTAACGGCATCCTGCAGCGGAGCCGACACCCAAGCTCCAACGCGCACATGGCCGCACAGTCAGAAGAAAATTTTGTTGAAAACCTTAGGGCACGCGGTGAGGTCAAGCCTCGCGTCGCTAGAGGGGTGAAGAAATCGAAAACGAGTGAAAACGGGTGAAGCACTATCTAGGGGTGAGACAATGTGTGAAACAGGGGCCGGCTCTCAGAGGTCCACAAGGAGTAAATAGTCTGAGTAAGTAGTTTTCTTTTCTTGAAGCTATCAGACAAGTACTCAAGTGGCAAAAGAACATGTCGCAACCAAGTCTTACAAGTTTCGCATCAAGTGAACGCAAAAGAGAATGTGTACGAACTCTTTTGAAATTGAAGCAAAAGCATCCTGTCAGGTTTAGGGTGCAACTATCAGGTTTTTTCCAGGTTCCTGTCCGCCAAAGGTAAATGTGCGGTCCTTGCGTAAAAAGTTCCACAAAGCAAGCGGAGTTGCAGGCTTGGTGCAAGTTCGTCAAGTATCCAAGCTGAAGGTGCACACACCGGGTAGGCAATGGAAACAAAAGAACTGCAAGTTGACCACCAATTTTTTTCCTAAGCAGAATACCAGGCACAACGGTACATCTGTGAAAGCATGCGTGTGAAAAATGACACGACTGGTTTCGTGTTCTGCGCAGTTGGGTGTAAAGTTGTTTTTCTGACTCCAAAAGCAGCTCCGCTGGGCCAGAAACATCCAGCGTTGGCGTTGGCGTACGCCGCAGAACTTATTTTTGTCAACTCCTTTTTCATTTGTTTCATGTAGTGACCATCCAAACTGCAAATCGAAACATTTGGGGCATTTGGCATGCACCATGTTCTTTGTCGAGAACAATCAAGCTGTTGGATCAATGGTGTGCGTGTTATGGGATTTTGATGGATTTTGGAAAGAACCCGTTGAGGCTCTGGATTCATGTGCCCCTCATCGCCGCGCCATTTTTTCCTCCAAGAGGTCGGAGCCTCGCGTCACTGACCAAAAGGAAAAGTTAGAAAAGGTGGCGAAAAGGTTGGACAGCAGGTGAAACTTAGGTGAGACGAATTTGCGTGAGACAAAGGCCCGCTCAGTTCCTTTTTGTCAGAACAGACCACGGGCGTCCCAAAAACCGGCTAGAATCGCAAGATATAGTCAGAAAGTTTTGAAAACAAATTACAAAAATGCGTAGTACAAAAACATGTTAGTAAATACATAATTTAAGTTGAAAACATCATTTTTGAAAACATAAAGCACAACTGCTATATTCCAACCAAATCAATCAAGTTGTATTTAAAGAAAAATAAAAGTTGCATAAGTTGTAACCAAGACTGTCAGGATATGACTGAATGTTTTTTAGAAAATATACAGATCATATCTTAATGTGTGAATGTTCTGTCCGCATGAACTTTAAAAATTTAGTGCGTTATGCGCAGCTCCGAGGCCACCAGCCCAAAACAAGCAAACGAGAAAGGTAACTCATTGTGCTCAATTGGACCAAACCTTGTTCTCACAGTGATTCACAAATCTAATTGAGTCACATGCACAAAATCCATGCAGCCAGGCAAGGGCATTGAAGAGTCATCCCACGCAGCATCACCAGGCTTCAATGGTGCAAGGAAATGATCCTGAGATTCGCTGTGCACGATACCAACGCAAACCAATCAGTGGACTTGAGTTCATGACATCGAAATATGCAGAATAGATCACACCGCGATCCCCCAACCACGACAGAGCCAAAATTGCAACAACTCCAAAAGCTATTGCAACCCGACGTCAGCAAATTCAAACCATCTGCTCATTTTGCAGTTCTTTTTTGCACGGGTGGAGCCGCCATTCATGCAGAAGATCCACAGGTCAGCTTGTGCAATTTTTTGGTAGAGTCTCCAAGATGAAAGAGGCCCAAACCAGAAAACAACAAAGCCAAACCAAAGCCCCAAAACACAGAAACAACAAAACAAACAGCAGCAAAAAGAACAAGGAGACTCTGCGTTACGTGCAAAAAGTGAAACCTAAGGTGAAACGTTGAGACGCTATTGCGAAGACGTTTGGTCTCACCTGCTCATATTGCAGTCTTTCATCTCTTCTTCTGAAGAGGTCTGACTGGTCGCAATCGTCCAACACATGTTGAAAGAACAAGAAAGCATCTCCAAACACTCTCAAGCCATTCCATACTTTCCACAGCTCTACACAGCTCCAGCCAGGGCTTCTCTAAAGGTGTTCCCAGCCACTCTGGGTCATTTCTTTGCACGAGTCGAGCGGGCATTCATGCAGGGTGCACAGGTCAGCTTGTGCAATTTGTGGGCAGAGTCTCTATCAAGGAAGGGGCAAAACACCAAACCAGCAAAAACACAAAAACAAAACCAAAGCCCCCAAAACCAAACCAAAACCGACCAGGGGAAACACAAGGATGGAGACTCTCTCTTGAAAGTGAGCTTGAATGTACATGCATAGGTGAGACAGTGAAACCGAGGTTGGGCAATGAATTAGAGCAAAACGGGCCACAAGGTTGGCCATCTAAGATGCAGTACAACTGTTTGCTGGCACCTTTTGACACTAGGTCACTAAGCCTGCACAGGCAGGCTTCTCCGTGCTCGTTGTGAAATGGCAACCGATTAATCTTGAAGAGGAACAGGCAAACTAGCCGGGCAAAAAATGTCCCAGCCACTCTTGGTCACATCCACCTTGTCCTGCTCTGAGGAGGTTAAAGACACACACCAAAAAGGATCCCCACTCAGCTCCAACCCAAGGACAGAAAAACGAAAAGTTTCACTGCAGATGCTGGGTGACACACACACTGTACAGGCGTGCAACCCACACTTTTCACACATTGGGTGTGGTTGCATGGCCACAGCGAATTCTTGCGCAGTTGCAGTACAGTACAGTACAATAGTAATTAGTAACCTCAGAGCTAGCTAGTCTAGTCTAGTCTCGTCTAGTCGAATCTAGTCACGAGTCACTAGTCGAGCTAACTGCTAACTGCTAGCTGCTAACTGTTACAACTTCTTGTAATTGTGGATTGTAAATTGTAGCATTGTAGCTGTGTGTGTGTAACTGTAACTGTAAACTGGTCAGACTCACATTGACTCGACTTTGGCATGGTATGGACATCGACTTGCGACCGTGACAATGGATTGCTTCCAATGTTCAGCCAGAGAGACCCGAGACATCAGCCAGCATCACTTGGTTTTTGTGTTTGGATATATAAGAATAGATCATCAATGTATCGTGATATATTATAAAATAACATATATATATATATAGACTAACTATAATTATATTATTATACTATGGCATAGCAGCATAGCAGCATAGTATGGCCAGCGGCTTGACTAGTGACTAGGACCTAGGACCTAGCAGTCAATTTAAATTTCAATCAGTCAAACTGTGTTGCTGCGGCTAATCAAAAGAAGAATCTAGAATCTGAATAAGCCCTTGTCAGCTGTGCGTCATATAATTCTACACACCGCCCTATCAATTTACTGTAGGTTCTTGAGCCTGATGAACAAGCAGCAGTGGCAATATGGCGGCAACTTCTACGTGACTGGAGATGGATTCCGCTATATGGGTGAAGATAAGCCGTCCCAGGCAAGGAGAGAAAGGGGCTGCTGGCTAGCTGTAGCTGCTGGCTGACGACTGGGGGCAACAACGTGATTGTCAGATTGTTTTTTGACTTTTGAAACTGGTGTCGGTGTCAGGTGTAATCATCAGGTTCCCAGATAACCAGGTAACCGGTAAGCCAGGGCCAGGTAACCGGTGGGTTGGGTTCGGTTAGGCCCATGTTTAGTTAGGGCCAGTTAGGGCCTAGCAGCAAAATTTCGGATGGGTTCAGAAGTTCAGAGCCTGTCATACCCAGAAGGAACTTGCCGGTGGACCCGGTGACTCGACTCAAGACTTACTCTAGACTCTAGACACTGTAGACTCTAGTATCAAAACTGAACAAACTGTTCACTATCCTGACCTTTCTTTGCACGAGTGAGCCGCCGTTGCAGGAAATGCACAGGTCAGTTTGCGCTGTTTTTGGGTGAGTCTCCTGTAAAGAACAAGCAACAAGCACCTGAGAGTCAATTTGCTGCCTAGGTTCATGCATTTTCCTTTTGGCCGCGCGCAGAGACTGACGATGCTCCCATTTCGGTGAGGACAGAATGGGAGGCTGAACTCGCGTTGCCTCCGCGTCTGGTTTGACCTGGTTTGGAAATCAAATCAACCTTCAACCACCAAGCACGCTCACAAATCCTCAGTGGAAAATTGGTACCACTACCATTCTCAAGGACACTCTCTCGTGCCCCACCCAGTCGAGTCAACCACCCTGTCTCTGACAAGGCATAGCAACTGATCACATTCAACTTGGTTCGTGCTACCACTACTCGCTGCATGACTACTGGGGTCTTACCTACCTTGAACTCGAGATCTACCATCCCTGCAGTGGGAAGAATATGATCCCCTGCACCTCTCAGGATTGGAGCTGAACCTGGGTACCAATACTTCACCTTGTAAAGCTTCAACCATTCCTCAGCAACAATGTAACAAGTGGCACCTGAATCTACAAGCCAATGGGTCTTGAGATCCTTTCCCAAGCCCTGAGTGCTCAACAAGTACTCAAGAGGATGAGTGACGCTGTGAACTACAGGGCTCACTGGTGGAAGAACCCTCCCCGGGACAGCACTTGAAGCCTCTCCAGGCTTTGACTTGGCCCTCCTCAGTCTCAGGCTCTTCAAGGTCAAATTCTTCCCACTCAGCCTCTTCCCAGTCACCTTCGTCACCCTCAACCTCACGCAGCTTGCCTTTCTTTCCTTTGCCCTTGCCTTTGCTCTTGCCTTACCCCTTACCTTTCCCCTTGGAAGGAAAAGGCTTCTGCTCCAGTGTCCTTGGTGTTCTTGGATGGTCTCTTGTCAGAATGCTTCTCCCAACAATCTGAGGCCACATGGCCGCTCTTCCCGCAGTGTTTGCAGCGCTTTGGTTTGGAGCACTCTGATTGCATATGACCAGGGTCTCCGCAGTTGAAACAACCCTTGCTTCTAATGGGAGAACCTTGAACAGCATGTGCCCTCTCCATGGTTCCAGTTGCACGACAGCGAATGTAATACTCTGTCACTGCTCGCCAAAGCTGCTGGACAGTCCCGGCACCGCTAATGAATTGCACGTGTTCAGCTATCTTTTCATGAAAATTCCTCAAATACAACAAAAACTGATCCCCCTCATTGATCCTCAAATCAACCAATGCTCTGGCCATCACACTTGCCTCAAGCATACTGTGAAATGATTCGATCTCTGTCTGAATCTCACGAAGAAAATCAATCAAGCCATCAATTGAAGGTTTCTTGACAGTGAACTTCAAAACAAGCTCTCTGTAGTAAAGGGCCTCCTGCCTACTGTAAATTGAGAACTCACGTCGAATCAATCTGAAAAGCTCGTAGCCATTGGCATCAGCTGCTCCTCGGGCCATGATTTGATTTCTGATCATATGTTCGCTCTTGGGGTATCCAGTAAAGTCCTGCTGAATAAGGTGGAAAGCATGAGGCGCAACCAACCTCCTAGCTTCTCTGCCCAATCTCTGAACCCTGACAGTTCTCGAGACCTGCTGACCCACTGTACGAGGGTAGTGGCATTGCTGGTATCCACTTGGTGTCCATTGTAATAAATCGTTTTTTTCCACGAGTGCGGACGCCATCTGGGCGGAGTGCCCAGGTCATCATTGAAAGGGAAGGAAACACAACATGATGAGGGGAAAAGAACACAAGCAACCCCAAACCAAACAGAACACCAAACAAAAACCACAACCAGGAACCAAAAAACACACCCAAGGCCAGAGGCCGTTTCTCCCTCATCTAAAGGTGTTTCCTCTGTACCAAGGTGAGACGTGTGAGAAAGACTGCGAACTACCTAGGGGCCTGAATTACTGTGAAAGTCGGACGGCATGGTCGGCGCATGAGCGGAGTGCAGC